GTGACGGGGCCGAGCCAAACTTCACTGAAACGAATGTGGTTCCTTCACCCCAGGCCTGGCCGGCTACAGAGACCTCGGACGGTCCCCAGGGACATTCCACAGGTCACCAGTGGGCAGTTTGTGACTGGCTGGTGCATTTTCCACTGGTCTGGGCAGGGCGCTGCTGGGGACCTGCCAGCGCCTGGCTCCTGCACAGCCTGGTCAGGGGGCCGAGCCAAACTTCACTGAAACGAATGTGGTTCCTTCACCCCAGGCCTGGCCGGCTACAGAGACCTCGGACGGTCCCCAGGGACATTCCACAGGTCACCAGTGGGCAGTTTGTGACTGGCTGGTGCATTTTCCACTGGTCTGGGCAGGGCGCTGCTGGGGACCTGCCAGCGCCTGGCTCCTGCACAGCCTGGTCAGCTCAGAGTGCCTATCGCTCAGGGCCCGGCTGCAGAGAGACCCTCGTGCAATAGGTGTTCGAGTCCCCCAGTTGCCGACTGTAACCACCATCCCATCACGGTTGTCCAGGGGGATTGCCGCACCTAAGCGCCGTTCCCACTTGAGCTAAAAGAGCGACTCCAGAACCTGCCGCCAGAGTAGACTGTTACCCTCTGACACGCACCGGTCACCGATGGGGGAAACACCCGGCTCCTGGCCTGGGGTTCTGGGTGGACGTGTATTGGTCCTGGGGTTGGCTCAGCCCGGAGACCGTAGGCGAAATCCTGTACGGTCTGGCCCTGGTCTGTCAGCGCCCCTGGTCTGGGGGGAGGCTGGGGTGGCTCAGATGTGGTGTGAGGGGTCCTTCATAGCAGGGGAGCCGCCTGGGTGGGAACTGACGCTCCCTCCTATAGCCCCCCTAGGGAGCAGCACCGGCTCCCGTGGCCCCCGGGCCGGAGCTGTGACTTACTGATGCTGCCTCCTTGTGTCCCCTCCACAGAGATGCACCGGACCCAAACCCTGCACGAGGACGCCTTCACCTTCAAAGTCTTCATCTTTCAGTTCGTCAACTTCTACTCCTCCCCCTTCTACGTGGCCTTCTTCAAAGGCAGGTGCGAGCTGTGGTGCTGCTCCCGGCTGCGTGGGCAAGGGGTCGGGATGGTGGGTGATCACGTGGGAGGCAGGCCGGCTGGGGGCTCCGTGGCCCCAGCCTCTCAGTCATGGGGGGCTAGGAGCGGTGCCACTCACCACTGCACCGACGTGGCGGACACGTGTGCATCAGTACAGGTGGCCAGTGTGGGTGCACGTGGAAGTGTGCACGCCCTTCCCGCGGAAGGCACGCTTCCGTGAGCCATGAGCATATTGCACGGTGGTTGTGAAG